TTTATCGTTAAATTTTTACTATACAGTTAAATTCAAACGAATGTTTAGCATAATTTTTTACATTACAGACTAAGCGCTTAAACAGTAATAAATTTTGATCGGAATTATTTGTAATGAAAATTTTTTTCATTCGATCGATCAACGTCGATTAAATACATTTTTACCGCGAAGATAAATAATCTCAAATCCGTCTTACGCGTCTCGCGATCAATTTCGACGATTTTTCTTCCGCATAAAAATCCGGCGTTCAGTAACCGAACACCGGCCCGAAATTCCGTGCGCGTTTTAAATACAATCGCGTGTCGTCCGCCTTCGCTTTCTCGACGCGATTCACAAATCCGACGAATCCGTAGTCCGACGGTCGGCCGGGAAGCGCGTTCGAACAGATTGAAACCGCAAAACGGCGCGGAACTCGCCGCGAACTTCTCTTCGCGTGCATTCGCGTTGGAGCGGAGAGTTTCGCGTAACTTTGCAGGAACGCGGCGCAGCCACCACGTAAAAATATCGCATCGGAGCGGTCCGTCCTACAGGGAAAACACCTGACCCCGACAAATTTCAAAGTTGCCGTCCGTGAAACTTCGCGCCGTTCCCCCGTCGACCTGAGCCGAGTTTGGAACACTTTCTTCCAACGTTTGATCGATTCCCGACGCGCCGCGATCGATCGCGCTAATTCGAGTTTAATTTCCCGAGGAGGAAAATTAAAAGGCTATCAGAATCGGAGAAAGTGGCAGTCGTTAGGCGAGCACGCCTGCATTTTCTTTTCATTGTTCTATCCCAATAAAAACCGAAATATATATTACCAGTAATATAAAATAACAAAATAAAGCTCAAATATATACACGGTGTACCAAAATTATGGTTTCTCCAAGAAATGAAGTGTTCCTGAGGTCATTTGAAACAACTTTTTCCTTTGCCAAAATATTCTGCGAGGCTTCGTTTGCGAGTTATCAACGAAAAATCGCGGCGCTCCGTCCTCGCGACGCTCCGTCCTCGCGACGCTTCGTCCTCGCGGTGCTCCATCCTCGCGGCGCTCCGCCCTCGCGATGTTCCGTCCCTCGCGGCCGCCGCCGCGTCGCGCCGGCCGTGTGACGCAAGGGCGGGGCGTCAGCCGAGCTCTCGCCTCTCATTGGCCAGCGTTTTACATTAATAACTCGTAAACGAAGCGTCATAGAAGATTTTCGCAAAGGAAAAAGTTGCTTCAAATGACCGCAGGAATCTCTCACTTCCCTAAAATACTATAACTCTGGAACATCCTATACAATTTTAGTTGTCACATATTTCATTCCACTTTTGATATGGAAATCGACTACTGTGCGTCGCTTTAACGGGCACAGCGGTCGACAAACTCGTTCTACGAGCTTCGAAAAAAGTCCCGCGAGCAGATAAGTCGAAATATGACCTACCTGGATGATTGAGACAGTGCCTGGCAGGGCTCTGCGTGGCCGAGGAGCTCTTGCTGTGCTCGGAGGAGTAATCCGCGGCGTAATCGGACTCGACGCCCTTGTAGGCGGCGTCCTGGTGCGAGCTGCCGGCATCCTTCGATTTCTTCCTCTCTTTGCTGCGGCTGCGGGCCCACCGGCTCTTCAAAGTGGCGAAGAAGGTGTGCGTTCGCTGCGCCACCGAGGTGGCGTGACGATGATGACGGTGCTGATGGGCGCCCCCGGAGTCGGCCTGTTCACCGCGTCGTGACGGCGAACCGTTGTCGTTGTTCCGGAGCTCCGTGGCGCTTTTCGAGAGCTGACGGCTCCCGTTCAGGTTCAGTCTGGATCTCTCCTCCACCCGGCTGTTCTCTGGAATTTTTGTTTCGACAACCGTCCGCTCGTTTAATTATAATTTCATGGTCGACATCGACACGCCTACCAATTTCTGTCGCGAATAATCTTGCGCTCTCGTTTCGCCAGGTTTTCCGATCTCGTAATTCTAGGTTGCGCTTCAATTTCGCCGCATTTTTCCACAGGCATTTATCGGAATTTTTGTATTTTAATTTCGGCACGGCTTTTTGTGGTGCTGATTGTAGGTTTAAGATTGTAATTTCGGCGGACTTTAATTTTCCAGGGATCAATCGCGGTTTCAAGGGTAATCGATGTCAGAGTTGCGACTTAAAATGTAATCTGTGCGTTGCGAAATGTTGGAACGATGTTAGTGAAATAAATGATAATGTTATTTTAATAATTGACCTTGAGGATGAAGTTTATTAGTAAACAGCACAGGTGTTGGTAAACGATAATACTCGTTTTTTTTGCAATGAGGAAAATACCAGTTGCAACATTAATTATAATTCTAGTCTTCTCGATTGTTATTTTAATATTAATTATGACGAACTTTTTGCGAGATAATAATTATAATTTTAATATTAGTTTCGACGAGCTTTTCACGAAATATAAATTGTAAATTTGATATTATTTTCGACGATTTTTTCACCAGATAATAATTGTAATTTTAATATTAATTTCGACGATCTTTTTATCAAATACCAATTGTAATTTTAATATTAATTTCGACGATATTTTCACGAAATACCAATTGTAATTTTAATATTAATTTCGACGATCTTTTTACGAGGTGCCAATTGTTATTCTAAATTTAATTTCAAGAAACCTTCCACGAGATAACAATTGTAATTTTAATATTAATTTCGACGAACTTTTCGCAAGATAATAATTGTAATTTTAATATTAATTTCGACGATCTTTTTACGAGATACCAATTGTTATTCTAATATTAATTTCGGCGAGCTTTTCGCGAAAGAACAATCGTGATTTTAATATTAATTTCGACGAGCTTTTCACGAAATACCAATTGTAATTTTAATGTTAATTTCGACGATCTTTTCACGAGATACCAATTGTAATTTTAATATTTATTTCGACGAGCTTTTCGCGAGATGCCAATTGAAACTTTAATATTAATTTCGACGAACTTTTCGCGAGATACCGATTTGGAATTTCAACTTTAATCTCGACCCACTTTTCAATGTAACGCGAGCGTAGCTTTAATTTTAATTTCAATAGATACATTTCAGTACATAGCTATTTAAATGTCAGTTACATCTTTCATTCGAATTCCAGTAACTTCGCCATTTCAATCCTAACTTAAAGTTCGACTTCGACGAACTTTTCTGTTGCAATTCCAATATGAATTTGAACTTTGACGACACTGACACACATTTCTGTTCCAATTTCAATCTCAATGAGAACTTTGACGCGGACATCCGTTTCTGTTTCGATTTTAATCTGAATTTGAACCTTGACGACATTAACACACTTTTCTGTGCCAATTTCAATTTCAATTTGAACTTTGACGCGGACGTCCGTTTCTGTTTCAATTCCAATTTCGATTGAAACTTTGACGCAGACATCTGTTTCTATTCCAATTCGAATCGCAATTTGACCTTTGACGTGGATATATTTTTCTGTTTCAATTTCAATTTAAATGTGACCTTTATCGTGGACATACTTTTCTGTTTCAATTTCAATTTAAATGTGACCTTTAACGTGGACGTCCGTTTCTATTTCAATTCCAATCTCAATTTGAACTTTGACGTGGGCATACGTTTGTTTCGATCCCAATCCCAATTAAAACAGACCCAATTTCAACTTCAAGCACAACGTACCTTGGAAATCCCTGCTGTAAATACGAAGTTCAACATACCCTGCAATTCGTCTCTCTACTATGAATCCAAAATTCAACATACAGTAAATTCTCTCTAATTCGCGCTCACAGCTTTGAAACGCAAATGAGCGATTTGGGAAAAGCAAATACGATTATTCGAACCTCGCCGCGCTCGTTTTTACAGTCACCGATTGTCAACAACTATAAAAACGAGTTGCAAGGCTCGAATAATCCACTTTTTGTTTAAATTACTAATTATTACTGTAAATTAACAATTTACTGTACTTTGCAATTTGTCTCCCTACTACTACAAGTTCAAAGTTCAACATACTTTATAATTTCAATGTTAAATTAATAACTTTGCAATATGTCTCTCTATTCTCTCTACTCTCTCTCTCCCTCTCTCTCTCTCTCTCTCTCTCTCTCTCTCTCTCTCTCTCTCTCTCTCTCTCTCTCTCTCTCTCTCTCTCTCTCTCTCTACTCTGTACTCTCAAAGTTCAACATACTTTATAATTTCAATGTTAAATTAATAACTTTGCAATTTGTCTCTCTACTCTCTCTACTCACTGTCCCTCTCTCTCTCTCTCTCTCTCTCTCTCTCTCTCTCTCTCTCTCTCTCTACTCTGTACTCTCAAAGTTCAACATACTTTATAATTTCAATGTTAAATTAATAACTTTGCAATTTATCTCTCTGCTACTACAAGTTCAAAGTCCAACGTACTTGACAATTTTAATGTTAAATTCTAATTTCCCCTTCACTATACTTCTTCGACTTCAACGTAGCCATCCACCGTTATGCCAATAAAATCAACGAACTTGTTGCCTTCGATTCCACCTACGGTCAAAGACAATTCCAGCAGAAGATCGAGAACAGAACGATCCTCCGTTCGCGTAGTGTACGTACAATCTCGTTCCATTGACGTCGAATCGAGGGACCGCGTCCTGGCCAGGACGAGCGATAATTGACGAGCTTCGCCCTTAAGGCGAGGGTTCGGCTAAGCTGGGAAGCTGGGCGTGAAAAGGGGGAGAGAAGCGAGTGCCGCGATGCGGAGGACGCGATAAATCAGCGCCGCGAGCCGAAGGAGTCTGCTAAACGGACGCCACCACGAACCGCATGAATCGCGAAACCGTGACCTTGTTCCAGAAAAGTCCTATCGACAAGAGTATCGATAGAGTAAGAGAGACACAGCAAGAAAAAATAGAGTAAGAGAGAGAGAGACAAACATTGAGAAAAAATAGAGAAAAAGAGAAAGAGAGACAGAAATCGAGAAAAAATAGAGTAAGAGAGAGAAAGAGAGAGAGCGAAAGAGTAAGAGGGAGACAACGAGCAAAATAGCGTAAAAAAGAGAGAGAGAAAAAGAGAGAAAGAGAGAGAGAGCGGGAGACAGCGAGGCAAAAATAGAGTAAGAGAGAGAAAGAGAGAGGGAGAGATAGCGAAGAAAATACAGTAAGATAGAGGAAGAAAGAGAAAGAGAGAGTAAGAGAGAGAAAAAGAGGGAGAGTAAGGGAAAGAGAGAACAAGAGAGAGAAAGAGTTAGAGAGAGAGAGAGAGAGAGAGAGAGACATCGCGAGAAAAAATACAGTAAGAGAGAGAAGGGAGAATAGAAAGAGAAAAGAGAGAGAGAGAGAGAGGGAGAGAGAGAAAGAGAGAGTAAGAGAGAGAAAGAGAGAGTAAGAGAGAGAGAAAAAGAGAAAGAAAGAGAAATAGAGAGAGAGTAAGAGAGAGAGAGAGAGAAAGAGAAAGAAAGAGAAATAGAGGGAGAGTAAGAGAGAGAGAGAGAGAGAGAGAGAGAGAGAGTAAGAGCGAGACAGCGATGAAAATATAGTAAAAGAGAGTAAGAGCGAGACAGCGATGAAAATATAGTAAAAGAGATCAAGATAGTGCTAAGATAATATAGGGAAGAGAAAGAAATAAAACAAAGGGGAAGATTTGTAAGGATGGAAAAGCAAAACGAAACGATCGTGCAAACATTTCTACCATAGGGGAGACCGGAACTAGAAGTTCCGGGGGTAAATTGTTCCGACGGTACTATATTTCAAATAAAAAAGAATCCCGTCATGCTTTCAATTGTATTGAAAAAGCGTGGACCGATCACGGTTCACTCTGATCACGTCGTCAACCATTTTAGTAGCTTAGTTTCCCTAATTCGCACTCAGATTGCGCATAAAAATGGACAATTTGCGACGAAGCGATACGATCGTCCGATTATTCTTGCGGCTCCTTTTTATTATAATTACCGATTGTCAACAACGTATCTGCTCTTCCCAAATAGACAGACCATTTCTGTGTACAATCTGAGCGCCAATTAGAGAGCATCTACTATCTAAAAGGAGGCGAGAAGCGGCGAAGTGCCTCGACTCGGAGGACGCGATAAATCAGCGCGGCGAACCGAAGGAGTCTGCTAAACGGACGCCACCACGGACCGCATGAATCGCGAAACCGTGACCTTGTTCCAGAAAAGTCCTATCGACGGGATCTCGGGAGATAAAGGACTCCAAGCAGAGTGCAGTCGCGAAGATAAAGAAGGGTCCTATCGACGGGATCTCGGTGATAAAGGACCTCCGCAAAGAAGCCGTAGTCGTGAAAGTACAAATAGAGTATCGACAGATAAGGCTTGGCAAATGCGGGTCTAACAGGAGAGGCTCCTTTATGCGACTCTAATTCTTTGGTCCGCCTTTGCACGATACAAGCGAATTCTTTCTGATTGATTGGAAACGAAACTGGAAACGAAAATGGACAATTTGGGAAGCGGAGGTACGATTATTCGAGCCACGCTGGTCGCTTTTATGGTCGACGATTGCGAACAATTAAAAAAGCGAGGTGGTGCCAGGCTCAGATAATCGCGTTACCTCTTTAAAAAATTGTCTATTTTTGTTTAGAAGCTGTGGGACCATTTGGGAGAATTTAGTAAATTTGATTTAGTAAGTTTGATATTTGAAATGTTTTACATTTGATTTCTCTTTTGATGGCTAAATTTTGCGAAATACAGTAATTTCTCCCGGAAATGCCAAATTTCAGGTTGCTGTAGATTTCTCTGTCTTTGTCCCTGAATTCATTAGGAAGACGATACAAAATGAAATGCTTGGGTCTTGTCTCCGAATTGCCTTCGAATTGTGTCACGTGGTGCCCCCGAATTGCCTTCAAATCGTGTCACGTGGCCTCCGAATTACCTTTGAA